CATGGAACTCATATTTGTCCTATACCATAAACCACGTCACCTGCACTTTGCCCACTAATTAATACCTCCCAGGACTTTTCCTACCCCTGTAGCTTTCAGATAGGATCCATCTAAAACAGAGCTGTCTAACTACTGAGTGGCTGGGGACCACATATACCTTCCCCTTTCCTCCCCCACCAGCAACATCCTGTGCAAGCCACATCCCACCAGGCTTCACATTGTGCCATATGGCCTCCACTACATCGGCACACTCATACTTTGTGGGATCCTTGGGTCTCTCTGAGCCCTTCCCCACCCATCCCACCCTCCTTCAGGTCTAGGGTCCCTCAACCCTGCAGACCTTACCACCCCCAGGACTTGGGGCAAGAAGTAAAAACTGGAGGAAAGAGGGGGAGTGCAGAAGTCCCAGCAGCAGGAGAGTGATGGGGAAAGCAGCACCTGAACCGAGAGCCTGGGGGCTACATGTGGCGTGCTGGCCACCAGTGAGACTGCCATGACCTGAAACACTGGCAGAAGAAAAGCTGGCTAGATATAAACATTTCTTAATTTCAAAAGAATGTCTGCCTAATTATTTAAGGTGAGTAGCATTCAGTTCTTTGAGTGCACAGCAGTTACCTTTAGTCCGTGAAATACCAGACTTGGAAGTGATAGGAGAGTTTTACTATAGAATTTTTAAGACATCTGTAAAATGTGTTGCTCAGCAATTTCTTCTCTTCCTGAGGTCTGTGCATCAGCCCTGTGGTACAAAGGAAAGCTGATCATACTTGCTTCCAAAACCTATCTGTAAACTTACTTGCACGTTCCTCACGGTTTCTGTGACAGCATGGTGGGTCTAGAGCACAGGATGATGCGAGTTTGGAATGATCTTTTCCTTCACAAAAGGCTTCTCCATTTGTGAATGACATGGGCCATTTCAGAAATGGAGGGAACAGAACCCACGTCACATCATGTCAATAAGGAAACAAGGCAGGTAGTTGTGCTGTGAGTCAGCATTACTATGCTTGGGGTGTGGTTGCTGCCTGCGTGTGACCCTTGCCAGCATGGATGCAGGGATCATTTTGTAATGCATCATGCTGTGCTGATCCCCTTGAATCCAAAGCGAGGCCAAGCACCTACATCTTCAGCGGCAAAGTGGCACAAGCTGGAATGAAAGTTGCCGGCCATTGCAAAGCAATTGTACAGAGCCACAGTGGTCCTCACTCGAAAGTGATATTTAGCAGATGAATGCAACTTTCTATTGAAAGTATTTTGAGAGACTTGAATTCTCCCCACCAAGGAGAGCAGCAGGCAGTTTTCCTACTAGAGAACGTACAGCCGAGCAAGGTGGACTAACTTGTCTGCAGTTTGCTTAGCGAGTCATTGGAAACTTGGGAGCCTCTGGGCCACTAGAACACAGGCCCAGAAATGTCACGTGTCCCTGAATTTCGCAGCAGCTCACTTGCGTTTTAGTTTTGCCCCACCTAACTGCTCAAGGCCTGCATTGTCCCACAGGACCTGGGGAGCCGGTTGCAGACTCTTGCAGTGTGCTCTTCCAGCTCTATGCTGCAGCGTGCTGGGTACCATTCCCAGTCACAGCCAGCTTGGCCCTCTAGGTTTCTTATTCCAAGCTAACATGGTGAGGGGAATCTTATGCTGAGCTGCAGCTCATCCTGGGTGGGCTCCTTGCTGAAAGGACCCTGAGGGCACTGTGTATGTACCCCAGGAGCAGCGTCCCCGTCCCCCCCCCAACAAGGAAGTGAAACTAGAGGGAGGATCTATGAACTGAGGAACAAGAGCTTGCCCACCCCCCTGAAAAAGCTGCAAAGACAAGGCCTGAATCCAGCATCCCCACCCCCCAACTCTTGTTTTTTCTACTCGGGGCAGATTTGCCAGGATGACATACTGCAGCCAGGCACCTGCTGTCATTGTCTCACCTCAAACCACAGCTGTAGTCCCCGGCTGCAGCACAGTACGTAGTACCTACTTGCAGTCACCTCTTCAGCGGGGGGGAAGCCTAATGGAAACCAGCAGACACCACAGCCAGAAGGATGTTGCAGCCCAATACAGAACCTCATCTACAGAAAGGCTGGCTGTTTGCTGCTTCCCCACACTGCTGCACCCAGCTAAAAAGCCAAGATGATGCATCTCGTGAGGGTTCTTGGCTCACGCAGCCCTGGAATGGGGCATCTACAACATGTTTGATCTGTGGGCATGTGAAGTGGGCTCCTTGAGCAGCCTGCAGCCTGTCCCGGATAGGCGAAGCTTTTGGGTATTGTTATGAAAGAGCTGCATGCATGTGGATGAGCCTAGGCTACTTGCTTATTGATCTCTTCCCTTAACATGCGTAGTGGAAGGTAACAGGTGCTGTGCAGGACCTCCTGCCTCCAGCCTGGTCCCAAGAGAGAGAAGCAGCGTTTTACCTGCATCACTTGGGGCAGACCTTTCCCCATTCTTCAGTCTCAGTTGACCACTAATCCATTAATCTTAATTGCAACCTCCACTGTTATTGGGCAGCACGTTGCTTGCTGGGATGTACAGACACCCAATGACCGAAACACTGTTCATGTACACAAGAAGTCTTTGGCCATTACCGCTTATCCCCTGAACTGCTGCCCCCTGCCCATTATGGCAGAGAGTTAACTGGTTAGGGTTTATCCACAGGTGAAAGTTAATCTGGAATAAGGGGTGGGGGGCAATGGGAAGCACACTATCTGTTCCAGATTAAATTTCTGTGTGCACACTCTCATTCTGCACTAAAAATGCCCTAATCCAGGTTAGCTTTGGAAGTCAACATTACCATGCTGTACTCAGGGCATTGCATGATGAGCAGCTGCTTGCTATGGGTTCTGGCCGTCTTACAGGTTCTTCCTGGCCCAGCCCAGTGGTTTGCATCTGCTTCAGTCCCTTTTCTTTACACCAGTCCAATCTCTTCCTTTTTCAAATGAACCCATTTCCCTTAGGGATTTTGTACTGTGCTGTTCATCCACTGTTGTACTGTACTGTGTTGAGGCAGCTCTTTAGACAAGGGATCCTCAGATAATACAGTCCTCCTCAGACAGTACGATCATTCAGCTTTTATAGTTGATGTGATTTGTTTTTTGCGGCAGGGGTATGTCTATTCAAGTAGTTGTGCCCCACATGGATCTTCCATTACTGCCTCTCCCTGACAGCTTTTTCAGCGTCCACAGCTTTTCTTCATCTTCGACCAGCCTGGTTCCAGTATGCCTATACTAACCCCAAACAGCAGCTTTCTAGCTTCTGTGGCACTGTACTAGGCAGGTGAAATCCATACATTTTTTTCCACTATTACAGTTCTATATAAGAATTTTTTTGTTTTCTTTTTCAAAGGTTATAGTCAATTGCCAGCAGTGATAATCTTTATACAAGTTTCTGCATTTGTTGTTTCTAGCATCTTTTCCAGAGTTGATGCTGAGTAGTCAGTTAACAGCATTGTCTCTTACCTGCTTTTTCAATAAGTGTCTTCTCAGGTCACCTTGTCTCACCTGCTGTCCCAACCAAATGCTCAAGAATGAACCAGTGCAGCCTCTGAGATTCTCTCTGGAAGGGCCTGAGGGGTCACAGCACTAAGATGCTCCTTGCCAAAAACCTTTTCCTTTTGTTAAAAATAAGAGGAATTTATACATCTCCTGACACAATAAGTGGAAGTGGGCAGTTGGAATGACAGGGTTTCCAAATAAATGGATAAAAATGTTCTTTTGCTGCTCCATCTTGTAGATCACTCTGACACACGCCCATGATATGCCTTTGGTTCCCTGTCCATGAAGTAGTGTGGTCCCAGGAAGGGAGGGAGCAGACTGAGAGAGTTTCCTGCCACGTGCTGATCCCCTTAAGAATGCTACATGATTGTGTTAAACCTCCTTTCCTGGCTCCAAGCCTTGACATTAATCTGCTTCAGCAGCAAGGTTGGTGGCAAGTCCAACTTGTGTTGAGCAATACAGAATAAAGCAATAGACTCAAAAGACATTTACGGAGGCAACAAGTACATGAATTGCACATTAACAAACAAGCTGTTTCTACCAGAGACATTGGCCAGTTACTTCCGTTGTCTGTGGTTGTTTGCATACTTCACAGATGGCTTTGTTACTAGTTGGACACACTATATACATAGGCTTGGTAGGATTTGTTTTTATTGGTAAGCACTGATTTCACCTCACAGTCATAGATGGACAAAAACAATTTCCATTGTTAATAATTGAAATTTATAGAAAGGGGACATAGAGTAATGATGGCTGATGGAGTGTGTGATGGCAGGGGGAGCAGTCCTACAGATCCATGCTGACTAGTTTGGCCTGTGACTCCCAGAAACCCCCGGGGGACTGGAAACAACAGAAGAGGAAGTAACAAAGTGGACAAGGGAGCTAAGATGAGCAGAGCCAGGACTGATAGCAGTCCTGCTGCTCAGCTGACTGCAGTCCTACAGTAGTTACATGTGTTGCAGCAGGCAGTTAAACAGCACAGTCCTGAAAATTCATAGTTCCTAGGGTTGGAAGGGTTCTGAAGGGATCATCAAGTCCAACCCGCTGCCCTGGGCATTAACGAGTGCTGGGATCATAATACCCCAGCCAGATATCTATTCAACCTCTTCTTGAAGACCCCCATGGTAGGGGAGAGCACCACCTCTCTTGGGAGCCCATTCCAGATCCTGGCAGTCCTACCTGTAAAGTCTATAAAAATAAAAATAAATGCTTAAAAGTAAACTCATTCAGGACTCATGGTAGAGGTGATATCTTTTTTTAGACCAACTATATTTAAAAAAAAAAAATTCTACTTGGTCTAATAGTAGATATCACTTCTACCACAAGTCCAGATTGTTTATTCCTCTGGACCAATACAGCTACAACCTTGATACCTAAAAATAAACATAAATTTTTACCCTTTTAAACAAATTCTGCCCAGGCTAAAGAGAAGGCCTCAGCACTTGTGTGAAACCTTGTCGGAGCCATAGATTCTTGAAGTATTATGTTTGGCAGCACTAACATGCCTTGTCAGACCAATGAATTTACTGAATTGCAACATGACCCTGCGCAGAGTGGCAGGCTTTCCCTTCAGGCTGCCTGCAGTTTCCAGCTGCTGCATGCTCTGAGCTGAGGGCTGGCTTCGTTCTAGCCGAGTCCTGGCACCTTGGTGAGCCAGCCTTTAAAAGAGCTTTCCTGCGGGTCCAGTTGAGTCCAAACCTGCCTCCAGGTGGCTGCCTGCTGAATCACTTCCTGCACCCCGGGTGTGTGTTCAGGAGAGCAGTCCCCTCGCGCCTCACAGCACCCGGACACAGCGCCCAAAAGCATGTAGCCAGGTACAGCCATGGGCTCATGTCAGAAGTCAGAGCTGGTGACTGACAAGCCTGTTTCTCGGAAATAACGTTGCTTTGTACCCTCCCCTTTGTTGTTTGCAGATGTTAACGCAGGAGAGCGAGCTCAGACCAATAGCGCAGCTTCAGCCTCCGCCTCCAACTCCACCTGAACAGGTCCCGAGCAGCCAGCTGCACAGGAAGAATCACCAGTAATTTGAGTCTCACTCAGCAACACTGGTCACATTTGGAAAGAAAATTAAAAAGAGGAAAAAAAACAAACAAAACAAAACCCAACAACAAACCTGTTCATTTTAGTGTTCAATTTTTTTATTATTATTATTGTTGTTCTTATTTAACCTTGTAAAATATCTATAAATACAAACCAGTTTCATTGTATTCTCACTCTGCGGG